TATATACAGTATACACACAATTTATTATATATTTATAAATGTATTTATTTATATATTTAAATATATATTCAAATATAAAATATATTATATAAATATCTAAATATATATATTTTTAAAATAATAATAATGATAATAAAACATTTAACATAATTGAACTAAATTGACTGACAGCAATAAACACTGATTTATTTAACTGTCTTGAAAAGTGTCATGAACAGCAGCATTAGCATTAGCTAAACATACAGCTATGAAGAAGAGCTACAGTGCCAAATGCTTCGGAATATGCACTTTAATAAAATATTGAGAAACAAATATTACAGAAATACTTGAGAAAGTAAAGTGACATGTGGAACAGCAACAAGGAAGTGAGAAACACATGTTACCTTGAAGTAGTTTTTGAATCTTTTGCTGACCACATACAGAGCCATTGGGTTGATGCACGAGTTCACAGACGCCATGTTGAGGCCGATGTAGTCGAGAACAAGAAACGTGCTAAAACATCAAAAGAGATGTGATATCACTTATAAGGCAGTTCACTAGTTTACATACATAGAGCTCATATGTGTTTATGTATATGCATGTATTATAATATTAATAACGAGTCTTACCTCAGTAATTTGCATCTGTTGGGATCGTGTTCATCATAGATGGTTAACTTGAGGATCCTGCTGAGGTGAAGAGGAAACCAGCAAATTGCAAACACAAGAACCAGACAGAAAACCGTCCAGGCCACTTCATGTCTCTGTCGGTCAGAAGAGAGGATTCATCACATACTGATCAGTCAAATTATATTTGTCTTCTACAGTATCAGTGTTGTTATTGTTAACTAAAACGGCTTAAAATCTAAATAAATAAAATAAAATAGATTTTTTTTTTTTTTGTGATTTATACCAGTGTTTTTATTGTTAACTAAAACTAAAACTATTTAAAATCAAAATAAATAATATATTTGATTTATTTGGTGATTTATACCATTGTTGTTGTTAATTAAAACTATTTAAAATTGAAATAAATAATATATAATAAAATACATATACATATATATATATATTTTTTTTTTTTTTCCAATTTATACCAGTGTTATTATTATTAACACACTATGAAACTATAAAAAAAATAATTTTTGTTAATTGAAATAAAGATGATATATATATACACATATATATATATATATATATATATATATGAGTTTAAAATTTATGCTGGATTTAAACTTGAAATTTAGAAATGTTGAACTGAACTGAAATATAATAAGTTGAAGTACTAAAATTACTGAAACTAAAACTGAAATAAAATAAAGGTAAATAGAAATATAAAAATATAAATATAAAAAAACTAATAAAAATGAGGAAAGCACAAAAAAATACTAAAAAACTTAAAATAAAAATAAAATGAAAACCACAAAACCTAAATTTTTTTAAAAGAAAATATTAATAAATACTACTGTATATACTGTATAACTAATACTACTGTACAGTATATAACTCATATTAATATATTACATTGGCTGACAGACAGCAGTGTCTCTATGGTTAGTGAATATCAGATATCTTATAATCCCTTGAGTCAGTTTTGTTTGTATGATGGTATTATGTGATTCAGATGAACTGGAACAGCTTTCCAAATCCCAGGTCCAGATTTACCTGCTTTATGTGTTTGTCCAACTTCTTAACGCTTCCGCTTAAGATCCTCCAAGTCATCAGCGAGTAAAAGACAGCGGTGCACGCCAACGGCACGATGAAATAAAACCCAAAGAGCCACCAGTCTTTGGCCATTTTACAAAACTAGAACGAGAAAAAAGAGAGTTCCTGATGAACTTGACATTATTTCAAAGGAAGTATGTCATCATTAGACTCTCGAGCGGATCTGAGCTCAAACCAGGAGCTATTTGATGAGGAAATCAGACTTTCACTGCAGCCACTGCCGTCTATATCAAAAGTTCCTGACAGACATCATAGGGAATTATTACTTTCAATGACATGCAATATGCATGGCTTGATTATTTGTATTGATGATTTTATTGCATGTAGTATCTCTGACTACAGTTAAAGAAACAGTGGACCCAAAAATGGTAATTGTTGTTATTTATTCACTTCAAATCCATTCTTTGAGGAACACAAAAAGGGGAATATTTCCCGAAATTGTTCTACAGAAAAGAGCTGTGTGAAAGTCCTTCAGAAATTCTCCTGCTGGGTATATAAAGTTCATTTTTTGGTGAAATATTCCTATAACATATTATTACAGAGCAACTAAAGGGACGTGGTGATGGTGAAATAAAAATTAGATGGGAGGAAAAATTGTATTTCAATGCTGTTGTGTTCCCTCACAAAAACTTCTGCGTTCCCCTGAAAAATTTTGCTTTTGCTTGCAAAACCACCTAAATATAGTTTTTCCTCCCAGTTTTCCAAGTGAACACAAAGTTTCTCAGAGACAGTAATACTTTTGAACATAAGAGAATGCAAAGTTTCTCGGGGGAACATAATACTTTATCGAGAGAATGCAAAAGTTTTACAAGCAGACGCAAAATATCGTGAGTTAATGCAAAGTTTACAAGCAAATGCAAAGTTTTGTGAGCGAACATTGGAGGAACGCTATAGTTTTGCGAGATAATGCAAGTGTTTTGTGAGAGAACGTAAAGTTTCTCGGGAGAATGCAATACTTTAGCGAGAGAACACAAACACAAAGTTTTACAAACGAAAACAAAGTTTCCCAAACATATGCAAAGTTTTGTGAGCGAACATTGGAGGAAATATATAGTTTTGCAAGAGAATGTAAAGTTTCTCGGGGGAACATTATACTTTAGTGAGAGAATGCAAAGGTTTTACAAGTAAATGCAAAGCTTCTCAAAGAACGTAATACTTTAGCGAGAGCACACAGACGTTTTACGAGCAAATGCAAAGTTTCGCAAACAAATGCAAAGTTTTGTGAGCAAACAAATTTTATCGAAGGAATGCAATAGTTTTGCAAGATAATGCAAGTGTTTTGCGAGAGAACGTAAAGTTTCCCGGGAGAATGCAATACTTTAGCGAGAGAACACAAACACAAAGTTTTACAAACGAAAACAAAGTTTCCCAAGCATATGCAAAGTTTTGTGAGCGAACAGTGGAGGAACGATATAGTTTTGTGAGAGAATGTAAAGTTTCTCGGGGGAACATTATACTTTAGTGAGAGAATGCAAAGGTTTTACAAGTAAATGCAAAGCTTCTCAAGGAACATAATACTTTAGCGAGAGCACACAAACGTTTTACGAGCGAATGCAAAGTTTTGCAAACAAATGCAAAGTTTTGTGAGCAAACAAATTTTATTGAAGGAATGCTATAGTTTTGCGAGATAATGCAAGTGTTTTGTGAGAGAACGTACAGTTTCTCGGGAGAATGCAATACTTTAGCGAGAGAACACAACCACAAAGTTTTACAAACGAAAACAAAGTTTCCCAAGCATATGCAAAGCTTTGTGAGCGACACATTGGAGGAAATATATAGTTTTGTGAGAGAATGTAAAGTTTCTCGGGGGAACATTATACTTTAGTGAGAGAATGCTAAAGTTTTACAAGTAAACACAAAGTTTCTCAGGAACGTAATACTTTGGCGAGAGCACACACAAGTTTTACGAGCAAATGCAAAGTTTCGTGAACAAATGCAAAGTTTTGTGAGCAAACAAAGTTTATCGAAGGAATGCTATAGTTTTGCGAGATAATGCAAGTGTTTGTGAGAGAACGTAAAGTTTCTCGGGAGACCGTAATACTTTAGCAAAAGAACAGTTTCTCAGGGGAATGTAAAGCTTTTGCAAGAGAACACAAATGTTTTACAAGTAAACGCAAAGTTTCTCAAGGAACGCAATACTTTTGCAGAAGTACACAAAAGTTTACAAATAAATGCAAAGTTTCTCGGGAACGTAATACTTTTGCTGAGAACGTGAAAGTTTTATGAGCAAACAAAGTATTGCGAGCAAATGCAAAGTTTCTTGGTTGAGCGTAATACTTTAGCAAGAGAACACAAGTTTTCCAAGTAAACGCAAAGTTTCTTGGGAACATAATACTTTATCGCGAGAGCGCAAAAGTTTTTACAAGTGAATGCAAAGTTTTACGAGCGAACGCAAAATTTCTCAGGGATCCTTATACTTTTGCGAGAGAATGTGAAAATATTATGAGGAAACAAAGTATCATGAGCAAATGCAAAGATTTACAAGCGAACACAAAGTTTCTTGGAGGAACGCTATAGTTTTGTGAGAGAACACAAATGTTTTGTGAGAGAACACAAATGTTTTGTGAGAGAACAAAAATGTTTTGTGAGAGAACGCAAAAGTTTTACAAGTAAACACAAAGTTTCTTGGGAACCTAATACTTTAACGAGAAAACGCAAAAGTTTTACAAGTGATAAAAGTTTTGCAAGTAAGTGCAGAGTTTTATGAGTGAACACAAAGTTTCTCACGGGAACGTTTGGGACCCTACGCTAACTTGTGCTGCTCTTTGATTGTAATCATTATGGAAATGATCTGGCTGCCTTTGTGTTCTTTAATTCGTGCATTGTCAGTAAATCATCTGCAGAACTTTACACTCCCATCGCCGCTTTTATGGGATTGCGCTAAATTGCCTTGTTTAGTAATTCTGGCCCAAAGTTTCTTGGGGGAATGCAAAAAGCATTTTTCCTCCCATCACATGTCCCCTAAGGGGCCTCCGTATATTCCTCTAGTCTTTTGTTGCAGTATTTTTCAGTTTACCTGCATGAATGTAGTGGATTGTACAGGATGAAGGAGGCATATCCGCAGATGCTCGCCTCTGTAATCCATCGTAATCAAATCAAACGCGACGGCCTCCGGAACAGCCAGCAATGTTGATATTGTCCATATTAAAGACAGTTTGATAGCAGTCCATTTGGGAAAACCAAGACCTTTGATACGACTCCTGGATGCAACGACTCTGTACCTTCAGAACAACAAACATTTCTCCTTTAGTTTTAAATAATCAGATAAGGACATTATTTGATCCCATTGATGCAGCTCTGCTGCACTCCATTATGCACTGCTCTCTATGTTGTTAGGTTTACAAAATGTTTTCATAATTTAATAAGCTGGTCTACTTCAGCGGCCTAACAGCGCTCATCAATGTCAAAATATTTGAGATGGCCAATCAAATCAAAGGAGGCGGAAAAGGTGGCTTTCGTTCACAGAAGACTAGCACGAATTCCAGCGTGGCACTTCAGTTTTAATGGTAAAAGTGTAAGATAAGATCTAAGTAGCTAAACAATTAATATTTGACAGCTGTTTTATGACAGAAATATAAGTAATATTCAGTAGTTTTTTGGTCAAATTTCGAAGTTTCGAATTGAAAATTATAGAATCTTGCTTCTACCATGGAGGAAAAAAATGAAGAATTAATTAATTACAGTAATTGCAACTTTTTCTTGAATCTCACAATTCAGACTTTTTTTCTTGCAATTCTGAGATTTTTTGGAGAATCTCAGAATTACAAGGTATAAACGTAAAATTGTGAGATATAAACATGCAATTCTGAGAAGAAAAGTCTGAACGGTGAGATGTAAACTCGCAATTACCTTTTTAGTTTTTTATTTTGTGGCATAAAAACAGAACTGCGAGATGTAAACTTACATTTCAGAGAAAAAAAAGACAGAAATGTGAGATATAAACTCAGAATTGTGAGAAAATCAGAATTCTGGGTCAGAATTCTGACATTTTTTTTAAATCAAGAAAAAAGTCAATTGCGAGATAAAAACTTGCAATTACATTAATTAATTAATTCATTCATTCATTCATTCATTCATTTATTTATTATTCTGTGGTAGAAACGGGCTTCCATACATTTCTGCCACAGAATAAAAAATGTATATATATATATGAAAAATTTCATGAGAAATATATATATATATATATAAAGGCAATTGTGACTTTTTATCTTACAATTCAGACTTTTTTCTTGCAATTCTGAGAATAAAAGTTAGAACTGGAATAAGATGTAAACTTGCAATTGCGAGAAAAAAAGTCAGAACTGTGATATAAAAAGTCGCAATTACCTTTATTTTTTTTATTCCATGGTGGAAACGAGCTTCTATAGAAATTGGCTTTCATAGAAAATAGCCTATATTTGAATGTGAGAGACAATAAACTTTAACAGAGCCATTTAGTCATATAATTATGTAGACTATCTTTCTTTTTCTTTATTCCTTTTAAATTCTCTTTAGTTCCTTTAAATAAAAGGACCGTTACATTTGTAACAGCATCTCCCCCACAACTCAAAAAATCTATCAAATTGTTTTGTCCCCCCAATGTTCCAAACATGGCTGTATAAAGTAAACATATCTAAACTAAACACTCTTACCTGTCTATGCTCAGAGCGCACAGGCTCAGTACCGTTATCCCAACGGAGGTTTTCTGAATAAACGGCACCAGTTTACAGAGCAGGACACCAAAAGGCCAGTCCACCGCCAGGAGCTGCAAAACACAACAAATGATTTATATCATCCTATTTTGAGTGTTTTCAATGCACATAACAATTCAGCAAAGTTACCTTATAAACATTGATGGGTATGCCAATCAAGATGTGCAAAATGTCGCCTAAAGCCAGACTGCCGATGAGAATATAGGGTCCATTTCTCATGCATTTGTGTTCTTTGATTATTCTCAGGAGAGTCAGGTTTCCAACCATCCCGAACAGGAATACGAAACATGAGACAATGCTGTTGATGTATTTGAAGGCGTCTTTGATCCGTGCTGGTCCAGAACACATCGGGGTTTTGTTTGCTGTGGCGTTCAGTGGTTTCCATGAGATATTCTTTGCATCATCAGGAGGTTTATCTGTTGTCTGAGCACTAATGAACCCGAGTGAACTATTAAAACACAGCAATAGCAGGACAATGACGGGCCCCTCCATGTGAAAAGACTGAGAGAAATCAGAAAGAGTGTCATTTCAAAAGTTTTGCATGAGATATTAGACAGATCCACTCCTAATGTCTTACCTGCAGCTCTTTGTGTGTTGAAGGTGTGAGTTAGGTGTGTATATATAAGCTAGAGTTCAGTCACGGCTCTTTTACAAGCAGGTACTGCAGCACATAAATCACGCGTCTTGGCAGGATCTCAGATTCAGTATGTCATTCAGATGCCTGCGGGTCACGACACGGAGTTTCCACTGTAATCTAGAGTCTGTGACGGCGTGTGCATGCAGCACATTCACACACACATCATTGCTGCTCATTTCTCCTGACGTATCAATGTCCTTCCAGATGTTCACTGGATCTCCGCCAGAATCCACTCACAGACACATGAATGAGATGAATGCAAGGACTGTTCGCTATCTATCTATCTATCTATCTATCTATCTTTATACCCATCCATCCATCTCTACATCAATCTGTCTATCCATCTAACTATTCAACTATTTATCCATCCATCTCTATATCTATCTATCTATCCAACTATTTATCCATCCATCCATCCATCCATCAATCTCTATATCAATCTATCTATCCAACTATTTATCCATCCATCCATCCATCTCTATATCAATCTATCTATCCAACTATTTATCCATCCATCCATCCATCCATCCATCTCTATATCAATCTATCCAATTATTTATCCATCCATCATACATCTATCAGTCTATATCTCCATCCATCCATCTATATCTACATCAGTCTATTTAACCATCTAGCCAACTATCCATCTGTCCATCTATATCTCCATCCATATCAATCTATAGATCCATCTGTCCATCTATTAATCATATCTCCATCCATCCATTTCTACATCAATCTATCTGTCCAACTATTTATCCATCCATCTCTATATCAATCTATCTATCCAACTATTTATCCATCCATCCATCCATCCATCTCTATATCTATCTATCCAACTATTTATCCATCCATCCATCCATCCATCTCTATATCAATCTATCTATCCAACTATTTATCCATCCATCCATCCATCCATCTCTATATCAATCTATCTATCCAACTATTTATCCATCCATCATACATCTATCAGTCTATATCTCCATCCATCCATCTATATCTACATCAATCTATTTAACCATCTAGCCAACTATCCATCTGTCCATCTATATCTCCATCCATATCAATCTATAGATCCATCTGTCCATCTATTAATCATATCTCCATCCATCCATTTCTACATCAATCTATCTGTCCAACTATTTATCCATCCATCTCTATATCAATCTATCTATCCAACTATTTATCCATCCATCCATAAGTCTATATCTCTATCCATCAATCCATCTATCAGTCCATATCTCCATCCATCTATCCATCCTTCCATTAATCTATATCTCCATCCATCCATATCTAAATCAATCTAACATCTAACCAACTATCCATCCATCCATCCATCCATCCATCCATCTATCTATCTATCTGCACAGATTATGCCTGTATCTGAATGCCCGGGTGATTTCTGCTGTGTTATTGTCGGAGGAGTAGCTCCATCTGTTGTCTTTTGTCTCTCGTTCTCCAGCAGAGCTGCTCCTGACTCACTAGTTTACCCAGGTGAAGGGACGTGATGACAGGGTCATCGCCATGACAACCAGCCCAGCTCAGACGGAGCGGGAATAGATGAAGCGCAGCAGGCAGGCGGACAGCTGTGCGGGTGAACTGACTACAGCATCAGTCATCATCCCAAACAAACACTCACATCAGGCTCAGACTGCTGCTGCTAGATTCTGTAGCTTTAATGGTCTTCTCAGGGACCTTCATTTAGAGCTTCTGTTAGTTTTCTAGTCTTGTTTTTATTCCTTGGCCCAAACCCAGTGACTTTTGGCACACTAATGAAGACTGAATAGGGAAAATTACTGTAACAAATATTTCTTACCTTGCATTAAAAATTGTATTTTGCATTATTATTTAAACATGCCGCCATCTTTGCTTTTGGATACACAGTTCAAGACACATTATTTTGAGCCAATCAACTGAGCCGTAAATGTCATGTGACTGATCACACTATATCAGAACTCCTTACATCAAACAGGAAAAAAACTTTAATTTTACACAAAAAAAGTAACTGACAATACATTATCTACTGTTGTTGTTGTTGCCATTAACAAACTATTAAAATATTTTTTGTTAATCGAAATAAAGCTGAAAGAAAATAAAATATTTATATATTTTTTATTTGCGATTTATACTGGTGTTATTATTAACTAAAACTATTAAAAATTATTTTTGTTAACTGAAATAAAGCTAAGAAATAAAAATAAAATATAAAAATTAGATTTCAATTTATGTTAGACTTAAACTTTAAAAACTTAAATAAAAATTAGAAATGTTGCAAATGAAATAAAATAAGTTTTAAAATTACTAAAATAAAAATAAATAGAAATAGAAAAAAAACAATAACTAATAAAATGACAAAAGCACAAAAAATTTATTAAACGTAAACTAAAATTTAAATGAACACTGACAATCTAAAATTAAAACGAAACATAATAAAATTAAATAAAATTAAAATTAAAAATAAGCTATTTGCCAAGGCAACATTTCTCATTTTCATTTAATTTAACCTGATCCAATAAAACAACAAATTAAAAAAAATGTATTCTTTGCTTTTATTGTGATTGGATTATTTTAAATCTTTTTTTATGTAAAGCAGTTTAAATTAACATTGTGTATGAAATGTGCTATATAAATAAAATTGCCTTGCATTAAATAAAATTAATAAAAACTATAAAGACATTTTGTAAAAAAAATAAAAATAAAATAATCCTAATAACATAATAAAATGACAAAAACACAACAAAATAACTAAAACTTTAAAATAAAATGGAAAATATAATAATCAAAAAATAATCAAATATATAAATAAAAACTAAAAAAATATAAATATAAAATAATATGGATTACTTTTTTTGTCTTATATGCAAGAAAGAGTTGTGTTTCTCACAGAAGAAAGACAATAAGCCAGGTTTGGAAGGACATGTGGGCGTGTAATTGATTTTCATTTTAATTTTTGATTGAACTGTTCCTTTCATTCAAGGGCAGAGCCGAAGCGTAAGGAGCAGGTTGAACCCGGCGATACCGTAAATCATGTACAGGACTGTAAACACATCCAAACACACATACTCTCAAGCAGCACCAATAAAAAACCATCTCCTTGAGCGAGTCTAAAGAGATACAGGAGAATGAGACGTGAAAACAAGCAGCGTTTCATTTGGAAAAGCCAAACTCCGCTGCTCACTTCCAGCCGGCCAATTAAAGAGTCCTAATCCATTCATTTGTAAGGATTTGCCTTCCTTCATGAGCCCTTTGTGCAGAGCTATTGACCAAAGCCCTGTACAGACATTTATTTGCAAAGGACAATTAGATTCACAATTTAACCTGAAATACCGTACAAGCCGTTTTACTCGTGTAATGCGACTCATTTCTAAGTGAAACGGACTAATCATTGACAGCAATGTAGAGAAGGTTTCATGAAGGTTTTCATGTTTTCATGAAAAGTGGGCGTCACCTACCGGAATGGAGTCACATGATTGGAGGAGGGACGGATGACATCAGCTGAAAGGAAAAGTTGTTTCAGAGGTTCATTATTTTGATTGAACATAATGAAAATACTTATTTAATTACGTTTTATTCATTTAGCAGTTGCTTTTATCCAAAGCGATGAGGAATACAAGCAATTTATTTTTATTTCATTCATTCATTCATTCATTATAAATAATAGCAATATTTGGGGTGCTATTTATTTATATATTTATTTTATTAATTTCATTCATCCATTATAAATAATAACAATATTGTGTTGTTATTTTTTCCATTTCATTCATAATAAATAATAACAATGTTTATATATATATAAAAAAAAATAATTTCTCCAAAAAAATCAATTTTGATTTAATGATGATTTATATATATAAAAAAAAAGTGGGGGGAAAAGTGAAAGTTTGGAGTTCCAGGTCTTTGGGGAATTATCTGTAAAAGCAGTTTCATCAAATCAAATCAAATCAAATTACATTACATTACATTACATTAAATAAAATATTTATACTAAATTAAAATTACATTAAAATAACACAACATAATAAAATAAAATAAAATAAAAAATTAAATTAAATTAAATTAAATTAAAATAACAAAACAAAACAAAATAAGAAATATTAAATAATTAAATTTAGCTAAATAAGCTAAACAAAACAATAAAATAAAATAAAAAGTAATAAAATAAAATAAAATGCTTTAGTAGACCACAAGGATTGATGTGGATACTGTATATTTTGCCAGACAGGAACATTCAAATCAATCGTGCATTTAATGAGCAGCTAGTGAACATGAGCTGAAACACTAAAGGTGCAGCAATTAGAAGTTAGGAAGTTCTGTGATAAATCCTTAATTTTTTTTTTTTGTTACAAAAATCTCTTTTATTTTCAAGGAGGAATGCACACCGTGGAAATGTAAGCACTTCTACAAACTCTCACTTTTACCCACAAACCACATTTTCCCATCTCCACGGTTAAGATGCCATCTGCACAAACTCGCTCCACGATTCTCCCTCGTTCTCTCAGAGAAAAGACGTGCTAATGAGATTTCATCCAAATCGCTCATCTTTTGTCACAACCTCGCCAGCTCAGGAACATTTCGTATCTTTTCATAATACGCTCAATCACGCAGTGAGCAAATTCACTTCAAGTCGAGGTTCCCTCGCCGAGCCGCCGATTCATGAAACAAAAGAGCTCCTGAAGCTCATCTTCATCCTCCCTACTGTAATAATGAGGCCTTTGAGACCGGACCGAACACAAAACCCACGCAGCGTCAGAAAAGCGTCACCTTCAGAGGATGAATATCATAATTATGCAATTATAATCATAGGCTGAATATTCAAAAAACAGAGTTATAATCAAAGGTCGCATATTACGATGCGACCTACATCAGATGTGATGTGCACAGGCATGCATGGCTTTAATGGTTTGTGCATTGGATTTGTGGTTGGATTCAGTGAAGTGTTAAGGTAGGCGAGTTCGAGTCCGTCCGTTATCATAATTAGCTTCCCTTCTGGAAATGTCGCTGTCATAATCTGCTTAGTGGGACCTGGTGAATTCATCTCCATTGTAATGAAGGACAAGCACAGACAGCCAAATAAGCCAGCCATCTTTACCTCCAGGGGCCAATCAACATGCTATCATCCTAATGGATTTATCCCATCCGTCCTGTACATCAGCGCTGCTGCACTCACGGGTCACGACACCGAAACACAGCGCCGATCTGTGAGAAACAACAACGAGAAATGCAAACAATACAATGCAACTAAGCATATAATTATGCAGAGCTGGAAGAGCAGAATAACTAGAGTTTTCGAGTTTTAAAAGGAAGAAACACTTCAAGGATGTTTTGTTGTTGATGCCAAAGGCCATGCATTCAATAAAACTTCTCAGGATTTTGGTGCAAATTCATCTGTTACTGGGTAGAAACTAGTTAAATTAGTCATAAATCAATGTGGACTGGTTATGTGACACCCTCGTGCTCATAAATCACTAACAAAACTACAAAACATAACAGAAAAAACATCCAGACAAACCTGGGCCTCATTTATTAAAACATTCAGACACACAAACAATGTTCCTAAATCCTACTTATCTAATTAATTAACTAATTGCAGTGACATAATAATA